GTCTTGAGATTTTCCTCAAGCTTAATGATTTTACTCATAAGCTGAGTCCTATCATCAAAACATGAACTTAGCTCTTTTTCTAAACCAGAAATCTTTTCCAAATTAGATGCAAGCAAATTATCTTTACAGACAACAAACAAGGTCAATTCAGAAATTTTGTTTTCAAATTCTTTTGACTTGGTTAGAAAATCATTTTCAACTTTAATATTCAAATCTTTTTCAGCACGGAGTTCATCTTCAAGATTAGAATTTTTTTTTTCAAATTTAGATCGATATCAAGATTTGAATGCACTTTGCAATCATGATCAGTACTTTCTTCCGCCTTGTCTGAATCATAAATCACCTCTGTTTCCGAATCAGACTCAGACTCATTTAAAAGGTTTTCAAACGATTCAGGAGTCATTGATTCGATAAAGTCGGAAAGTTTTACAGAATTATTTTCAGATGATTCAAAAACAGATGAAGTTTGATTTTTAACATTGTCAGTTGGATATACCGAGTCAAGTTCAGTATGTGAAAATATGATGTTCTCTTATCTCATAACTAGAGTTAAGATCATCATATTTCATTCCAACTGATTTAAAATTTAATTTTTCAGAAAAATCTTCATCGGTTTTATCACTATCATCCTTGTCAAAAATAGGTGATTCATTTTCAGATTTGACAAAGATTTCCTTCACAGTAGGAATTGCAAATTTAGCCGACACCCGTTTGTCTAAATCATATAAAGATTGAGGGGCCTTTTCCAAAATTTCATTTTCTGTATAACTCAAACCCATTTGTGGATTGTAAAAATGAACATCTTTTGGGTTCTTTGTCAAAATTTTCAGCGTTTGTTCAGACTGTCTTCGTTTGTAATTAATATCCTCCAACTGTTTAATTTTATCATAAAGATTTTATCTTTCTGCGAAAATAACCTCAAATTTTAACTGAATGTTATCACGCTCGCACTCAACATCACTTAATTTCTTTTTCAATAACAGAAATTCATTTTCAAGCTTAGTCTTTTCAGATTTCAGAATTTCTTTTTCTTCTCTCAAACCCTCACTTAAACATTTGAAATCGCAACTTCCTTCTCTAAATTTTAACATTAAGTTCCTTTCACCTTTCAGTCTATTTTTTAAAATTTTAAACTCAACATTCATATTCTCAATTTCCTTAATTCAGCATTTAAGGAATTTACCTCATTCTCGTTCTCTGATGATGAGCCTTCAGCTTCAGTTCTTGCCATTAAACACATATTTACCTCGGCAAAATGAGCAGCTTCATCATCTGACGAGTCAACAAGCCAGCTTTCTTCTTCAGCCACCAAAGCCTTGCCGTCCTCAAGGGCTTTTGCCAGATTTTCCTTCTTGAGGTAGTAGTTTGAATCCTTGATCTTTTTGAACCGGCAATCTTTGATGTAATGACCAAGTTTTCCACAATTATAGCATCTGCTTTCTTCAACTTTACCATCCCTCTGGTTTGTGGCTTTTATAAACTTTTCTAGCCTTACCTCCTTTCCCTTTCTCTTATCAAACTTAACAAACTTCTTACCGAATCTCTTCTGAAACCTCTTTGTCAGTAAAGCAAGTTTCTTAGAGAACCCCCTGATGTCATTATCTGAATCAGCAGAGGAATCTTCAGTTGATTCACTTTCAGTCTGCTCAAACAACTCTGTCTTCAAAGACTTGGAGCTCTTTCCTTCTGATTTACCCTTTGCTTGCTTCCCTGACAGGAGAGCTAAGGAGTCGGCCACCTTCTTCTTCTCAGTCATCAACTCTCTTACAGTTTCTTCTTTTTTTTTTTTTTTTTTTTTTGGGAGGGTGTCCGGGCCAAAGCCCGACTAATCCCTGGCAATTTTGGAGGCTAAACATGGCCCCACTTAAATGTCACCAACACTCCCCTCCCAGGGTTCGAACTCGGGTTCATGACTATGCCATGCCCAAGCCTTTACCACTAGGCTGGAAGGTTTTTGACTTACAGTTTCTTCTTGCTTGTACATGATACTATAAAGATCATGAATGCCTTCTTCCGACATGTTCTTATTCATTTGCAGATTTACTGCAAGAGAGTTCCACTTTGACCTTAAATTCTTCAAAAACTTGTAGTTAATTTAAGACATGGATTTCCAAATACCGTTCCTCTTCAGGTCATTCAGAGTTACATTGAATCTGTTGTAGGATTCAGTGATGGTTTCATTCTTACGAGTCCTGAATCCTTCATATGCACTGATGCACTAATTCATCCGTGTCTGAATTGACTTTTCACTTCCCAACATTTGCTTCTCTAGTTCATCCCACAACTCTTTAGTTGAGCCTCTGCTATCAACTCTGTTGAAAAATTCGTTTGGTATTGCCATCAGCATGTAGGTTAAAGCTTTCTTATCAAATAGGACTCTTTGCTTCTCAGTTTCAGTGTAGTATTGTAGATCTTTCTTTATCGTGGTAGCAATGCACAACAATACCATCAGTGGTAGTTTGCTCTGGTAGATCCATGTAACTAATGTATGGTCCATTCTTGATTGACTCCATCAGCTTTTCATCCTTATTGACAAGAAAGTGAACCATTTGAACTTTCCATCGTAAATACTCTCCGATAGCGAGAACTGGAGGCTTAGAATCAGAACCAATGCTTAGCATATCTTTAGACATTTTAAAGACTTGAAATGATCTTTTTTAGAAAAAATATTTGACTAGAACTGGATTTGAAAAACTCAACAAATGATATTCTTGACTCTTGAAAAACTTAACAAAAATCTCTTACCGAACAAATGATCAAGAGATATCCGGACAAGGTAAACCACTTATCGGACAAGAGAATAAGCACTATCCGGACAATTGAAAAAGAATGCTATCCACACAAATGAATATCTGGACAAGGCATAAGAATGCTATGCGGACAAGTTTTAATGTTATTGTTCAAGGGATTGTTATTGGACAACAAAGATACTTCTCGGGTCAACAAAGAAATACTTCACCGGACAACAAACAATCTCACTTCACCGGACAAAGAGGTGTCGGATGAGATGAGCTATCCGGACAAGTATGTATCCGATGAGAATACTTGGACCAAATTGAATCAATGAAGTCAAGGTATCCGGACACAATACAATCGATAAGAACAAACAACCAAGAAAAGCTTATCCGCTGAGCAACAATACAACGATATCGGACAAAACTAATCTGGTTAAAGCTCAAACAATGATCAAATCCAAAAATATCTAAGTCTCAAGAAATGATCGATGAAAAGAACACTTTTACACACAAATTCAACATCCAGTGAGTCAACCCTTATCGGACGATGAATATTCAACGTCCGATAACAAGAACACTTAAACCCAGAATTTGAAAATCGTTCAAAATCACTCAAAAATTGCAAAATGAATGCAATTTCTTGCACAGATTGGGTCACAATACATGCATAAACAAATTGATTACAACAAACTTCAAGAAAAACGGATCAAATAGGTTCATATTAATCAAAACATCCAAGAAAAGGACCCAATATGTTCAAACACAAAAAATCAAGAATTCAGACATAGAATCGATCAAATCCAATCCAGTCTTTCTGAGTTAAGCTCTAATACCAATTGTGATCCCAGGTTCAAGTTTAATTCAACCAAATTAATAACAATGATCAAGAACAAGATGAAGAATCAAATCAGTGGGCAAGCTTCCATTTCATAAACTGTGAAGAACAATGTTCTTGATACAAAGTGTACTTTCAATCTCTTTCAATGTCAAAGATACGTATGAATCTACCTATGATTGTCTAACCCAACTAACAAAACTAACGGTTGCAATTTATAGCAACTCCCAAAATAGAAAGTCAACTACACAAGCTATAAAAGGAAACTACAAGAACTAAACAATACAAAGCATTTAAAATAATTTAAGCATCGGGACTTGAATACAACATTTTGTTCCAACAAAAGAGAAAATAACAATGTATACATACATACATACATTAATACACACACACACATATATAGATGTGTGTGTGTGTGTGTGTACATGTGTGTGTTTGAGGGAGCTATATGCTGAAATACATAAGCCTAAATAAGATAATATGAAGATTATGTTAGAGAATATATATGTCCGACTTGCTAGCTATAGGACCAATTGGGTTGTGCAAAGGGGCTTATCCAAGACAGCAGTTTCTTGGTTAAACAAGTATACCCAACTCAATGGGAGGCTTATGAGTGCATCCAACTTGGGTTGGCATTTGCCTCTAACTTAGTTTACGAGCCTTGTAAACTAGGTGAAACATGTGTCTTTTCTGTCTATATATTGGTGTAAATGAATTCATATATGCTCGGGAGCTAGAAGCGGACATATTGATTAACCACTTCACAGGACTAGTATTGATCCTATATAGTGCCGGTTAATATGTTTGATATTTATGCTCCAGATCAAGGAGTGTTAGGTAAATATGATAGTATTGGCTGTATAGCCTAAGCCTCTCCAAGTTGGGGAACGAATATCAAATATGTGCAACCTAAGTAGGGGTGTTAGGCCTACATGACATTCGTAGGTATATTATGTTTATTTAGGTTTTTGTTTCTCCACCCATAAGCCACTTTGTCCTATACTTGTCGCTAAATATTATTTTGGTGTCAATCAGTGTTGTGGTGGAGTGGTTAGTGCCTGGGCAGTTCATAGCGCTGAACCCGGGTTCGAATCCCTCTACGCACATCCTGTGCGACATTTACAAAAGGGGCATGCTTTAGCCCTGGATGTGCCTGGGATTAGTCGAGCTTTGGCTCGGATACCCTTTCAAAAAAAAAAAAAAATTATTTTGGTCCCTTTTATTTTATACAAATGAAATATCAATATGTATTCAAAAGTTAATTTCGAGATTAAATGGAGTGTGATTTAAATCAGGCCCCAGAAAAGGGAAACTGCAATGCTTATCATCTTGAACACAAAGTGTTCCTGATATTTGTCTCACCATGTTGATATTAATTGAAACTGAACTTACTAGACCTCATTTAAATTTGAGTTGCTTTTGTACTTCAGGATGGTGACCCCCGCTTATCTAGTTTTGGTTTGATGAAAAACAGTCGAGATGGGAAGAGCTATAGCACTAATCTTGCTTACACTCCTCCCGAATTTTTGCGCACAGGTAACCTTATAGAGTTTTGGAATACACTTCCATGTAATGCATTTGTTTCTCACGTGGAAGATTTATCTTACCATTTTTGAAGCCCCACACAAGCTTTTCTTTAGGGGCGCGCCTTGGAGAAACCGGTAAGGTTACTCCTTGTGACTGGAAGGTCGCATTTTTTGAGTCAGCGAAACAGCTTCTTTGCAAAATCAAGGGAAAGACTGTGTACAAAGACTTCCAATCAAGCCTAACAAAGGCAAGGAGCCTAACCACTTGGGCTGCGGAGCACTGTTTAAGCCTTGAGGGGATGTAGTGGAAAATCTCATCTACCTCGGGTTGGAATCCAGGTGCTGCCAAAGCCCTTGTGGAGGTTCACCTGCGATGATTCCAGGCCATTCGTGGTCGTCCGCAGGATCAGTCAATGCGCGTAAGCTGGCCCGGAAACCCACGGTTACCCAAAAAAAGCCAAGGAGCCTTTGGGTACTGTGTCACCCTTTAGGCAAGCTATTCTTTGTGCACTACTGTAACGTATTAGAAACCCAATTTCCAATTTTTGGCCTGACAACCTCACAAAATATGTAATATAGCAATCATGCATCCCTATTTGCCAAGATTATTACATGTCAAGACTCATAAGTGGTAGCTAGAAAACAATTTCTTCTGTATAATAAATGGTCACCATTGTTTAAATGTTCTAGTGTTGTGAGCTTGTTGAAATACATTAGTTTGGGAAGTAAGTCTTCATAGCAAACAATTTGTGACAGTTCAGTTTTGAAGTTAGTCCCAATATTCAAGTTCAAAAATTTATTTCACACATTATATTTGTGATGGAACATCTGTCCTGTGTCATGTCAGCAAGTTCCGCATGAAAATTGTAAGTACGTATTTTTTTGTAGACCATACTTCGGCCCATCAATTGTTTGCGTCAGCAGAAGCATCCTCTTTGAATAAAACCCAACACCATGTTCAAGTTATTTATGGTTCTGTTCGAGTCCCACGACATCAGCTAGATTTGGACCATTTCTCCTGTATATATGTTGGAATCTCTCCTTTCCTCTAAAGGGCTTTTTTGGTGAGTGATATGGGGTTTCCACATATTCTGACATGGTATCAAAGCCAAGGTCTGCCACTCTAGGGACTCAACACACTGGTTAGCCCCCTCTCGACACCCTTGGACGATCTGTATCCATCTAGCCTCTGTTGGAGGAGGCGTGTTGGAGTCCCACATCGGCTAGACTTTGACCATTTATCCTGTATATATGTTGGAACCTCCCCTTTCTCCTGAAGGGCTCTTTTGGAGAGTGATGTAGGGGTTCCACATATTCTAACAGGTTCCAATTCACTGGTTTTTATTTATACTTGCATTTTTAGTTCTTAATTGAAAGGATTATTCAATTTAAATTTTCAAGCTTTGGAGAGTGATATCCCACCTAAAGTATCTGCCAAACTAGATGTGTGCCTGTGCAATGCAGAATGAAGAACTGCAAATTAGAAAATTATAAGGAGTTTTTATGCTAAAGTTATAGCATGAATTTGAACAAATGTAAGGAGTTTTTCTTACTTGGAGTTTAGATATACTTTATACATATGATGCGGTTGATAGTGATGTTTTTGATCATGATTAATTCTGATATTAGAAAAACCCTCCTCTGATATAAATCAAAATTGCAATACAAATGGTTATGTACACTTTACAAGCCCTGATAATTGTTTTGCTTTGTATTGCATCTCTACATAAATTACTTCAAATTCTCATCATAAAATGCTAATTGCAAAGTGAGTTCCGGCTTTTATCTTTACTTATAATCCATAAAATGCTTTAAATGCTAAATATTATTGTTTACAACTCAAAACAGTCTTGTTGAATTTCTTTTACATTTATTCTCATAGGCACCTCTCATTATCAAGTATCATTAACCATATGCAATTTAGTTTTATTGTTTTATTAGACAAATCATGTGTACTGCTTAGATATGGTCATGGGCTGGCTTAGATATACCTGTGCATGCAATGGGCCGAATAAACGCATAATTTGTGGATACCCAAAAGTGTTACCTGGTACTTGTATTCATAGGCATAGGCCTGTGTACGCGGTACACGCATGGTCTACCAGCAAAATCATTATTTATTTCTTATAAATCAAATAAGATAACTAAATCAAACAAAACCTCTTCTCCAACTATAACTGGTAGACTGAGCAGCTCCCAAGTTAACCAACATAGATGATTTATCATCTCTAAATCCTAGCATCACCATTGAATAAATGATCCTCTACAATGATGACCTAATCTAAGCACTCAAAAGAAAACATAGAGGTCTGTTATCAGTTGGTTTAATGAAACCGATCAACAATTCAAGCTCTGTTAACAAATAACAACACAACGTTCTGATTGGATTTGAAGGAGGAAATCATGAAAACCGGAAAATTGGTGATGTTTTCTGTGTAACCGGGCCAAATTGGATCTGTTTTATGGATCTTGGTTCTTGCAGCCTCCACTCTGGTTCTTAATATGTGTGTGCGTAGTAGTAGGGTAGTACGTACAATTATGAAAGAATAGAGTTACGAGGTGATGCACGACCAAGAGATGGGAAGTTGAAGTTCACTTAAAATTTCTGGATGACCTATGAAATAGTTCAAAATAAATGTTCTGTACTGTGATTTGTGGAGATAAAAATAGTCCTACATAAACTACATACACCCACAACTTTCAAAGAACGGATACAGCTGTCCATTATACCTTAAAGAAACTGCTTACCCTAGAAGGTGGTAATATTGATGGGGTGGGCTAAATGCACCCCTATATATTGCTAAATTCCTATGGCATACCCAATATTGATTCTTAAGCTCAAGCTATGCAGCTGATCAATCAACAGGAAACCCAAGATAAAACATGTCTAGTATGTGTCTGAAGCAAACCATTAGTTTTACGGAATCGTTTTTTTCATACTTCCAAGTTCCAACTGTTAATACCAGAAGTTAATAAAATTTTCAATGACTTCAAGACCTAAGGATTCATCGTTTCTCCTTTAAGTTTTGTATTTGCATGCACAAGCACAAGCACAAACACACACACACATACACACATATATATATAGAGAGAGAAGGGGGAGATTCAGGGGAAAACTCCAAAAAATGAAAAACTGAGGAACACCCTGGTAACCATTCATCTTGATGGTTGCACATGTGCATACGACTAATTGAAGTTGTTTCTTGGTTTTTATGCACATGTGCATACCGGACAAATTGCTTACAAGTTACTTGTGAGCACATTTATATACTGTCCAGATGAACGGTTACGAGGGCGTTCCTCAGTTTTTCATTTTTTTTATGGTTTCCCCTGAACCTGACCCTATATATATATTAAAGGATATGTGTCCCTCTGATGAACCTTTATATAGTGAACTGTTATAAATATCTCCACTACTAAACTTCATCGCGGTCCTTTTATAATGCATCTTTTTCATTCATTTACTACCAAATAACTTTTAATTTTCTTTTTGTTACTATTTATTGTTAGTTCACATGCTAAATTGTGCTATCGATGATGTATCAGAGCGGTTTATCTTTATAATCATTGTGATTGGCAGCATTTGTAGTAATTGGATTTACTAGTGAAAATTAGAATCTGAAGTGACATGAAAATTAGAACTTTGGTACCACGAGGCAGATGAAATTCGCTAATTATTTGGTCTGTCGTCTCAATATAAACCCATGCGTTCATAGTCTCATGCTTCAGTGGTGAAGAAATTGGTGATGATATAGGTGGTGGACCAACTGATCTGCCATTTTAACATAACATTATTGTTAGGTTACTCTATAGAATCTCAGTAATCACCACAAATCATGGTAGAGACCTAGAGGTTTGAAATTCAAAGTAGTACTAAACTTTAGATGGCATAGAAAAAGAAACACATCATGAATCTCGGTGCACCAAGGTCTCTTTTATGTTTTTGAACTATGCCTTGTTAGTATTTGGTTAAGTTTGATGGGTTGTTACTTGATATATGAGGGATGCTTAATATTAATACGGGGAGGATTGTGGATGTAAGAGCTGTAGTTTACATTGTTGAGAAAGAGCTGTCGTTTATCGGGTTTCTTTTATGTTTTTGATCGTATGCGTTGTCAATAATGTGTATGGATTTCAATGGCATTTGCTTCTACTTATTGCAGGCAGGGTCATTCCAGAGAGTGTGATTTACAGTTACGGAACTGTCCTGCTGGATCTTTTGAGCGGAAAGCATATCCCTCCAAGCCATGTAACATACATTCTTTTACATGTCTCCTCTTGCAGATTTTCTATATTTATAGTTCAACACATTTTTTCCTGTAGCTACTTCTCATTTGTCCATATTCCTGCCATTTGATATAAAATGACGTCATAGTTTGTGATTATATCAAGCATTTGTGAATTACATGTCCGTGCCAAGATGAACAAACTTCTTTTTCACTTTCGTTAAACCACGTGCTTTTGGTTAAATCTCACAATTATTTTGGGACTAAAGGAGTGTTAGTCTTGTTCTATCCTAATCTGTGGTTTCATTTCGAAGAAGTTTTGCTAATAGTTGAATAGTAATTGCAGTTCCACCATCACTTTTTCCTGTTTCACTCCTGTCTGCTAGAACAGAGATGCTTTATTGCAGTGTCAACATAAGTTGAAACATTTTTTTTTGCTTTATATTCTGCAGGCATTGGATTTAATACGGGGGAAAAATGTTTTGTTGCTGATGGATTCATCCTTGGAAGGACAATATGCTGATGAAGATGCAACAGCGATGGTGGAACTTGCTTCAAAATGTCTTCAATACGAGGGTAGAGATCGTCCGGATGTCAAATTTCTTCTTACAGCAGTGGCACCCCTTCAAAAGCAGAAAGAGGTGAGACCATTGCTCTTTTATCTTTTATAGAAATCCAAGGTTGCTAACGCTTTCGTGTATGTTTGTCAACATATGATCCTTATTAAGTTGTTTTTGTTCATCTTTTTCTTCTGTAGGTTGCATCACATGTGTTGATGGGTCTGACAAAAACTCCAGTGGTTGTTCCAACCTTACTCTCTCCTCTTGGCAAGGCATGTGCACGAATGGATCTTACTGCAGTGCATGACATTTTGCTAAAAACGGGATATAGAGATGAAGAGGGGGCTGAAAATGAGGTGTGCATTACTCTTTTCTTCTATGTTCTGCCCATGTTTTTAGATTACTTGAATTAGCATGTGCCGAGAAAGATTGCGACTTACCTGACTTGTTTTACTATCTGGGTCCTTTGGATAAATGACCTTAAGTGAGTTTTCAATTAAGAACATGACCTTCTAATTTTCGTTTAGCTAAATGACCTTCATCTGACCTGCTCCTGGTTTATAACAGCCCCGCCCCTGGTTCAAAAGAGTCTGCTCCCATGAAAATATATCAATACACTAGAGGGCCATTTTGCAAAACCAGCTTCTGGAGAAGGTCATTGAGCTAAATAGCTCACTTTCCTCGTCTCAACATGAATCATGTTGTTGCATGACCATTTATTTAATCGTGCTTCATTTTGTTTGTTTCGGGTATTGTCATCCTTTATGAAGCTGTCATTTCAAGAATGGACCCAGCAAGTGCAAGATATGCTAAATACGAAGAAGTTTGGAGATATTGCATTTAGGGACAAAGATTTCAATGGTGCGGTTGAATACTACTCAAAGGTATTTATTTAATTATATACCAATTCATACAAATTGAGCCTTAAATGCATATCTTTAGAGCAGTATAAAGTTGCAAAATGAAGTGTCATGCACTGCACAATATTTTCTTGGTAACCATAATATCCAGCTGTTGGTTCAACTTGATCAGGAGACAAGATTGGTAAATTACTAAACCACTCATATGAAATCGCTAAAATCTTCCCAAACGCACCGACGTGCCTCTCAAAGAGTCTGATCATTAGGTCATTTGTATGTGGGACTGGACCTACTTTTGATGCGACATTAGACCGAGATAGAACAGGACATGAGTGAGATAAAAATGCATTTTTCCTGTCCTATCAAAATAGGTGGAACATAAATGAGGGGAGATGGAACAAGATTGGTAAATTACTAACCTACTCATATCAAATTAAAACCCTAAAACCTTTCACAATTCTTTCACCCGCCTACCTCACTCTGGCCCCTTTAGTTCAGTCTGGTCCCATCTGCATACCAGACGCACCCTTAGTTTGCGCTCTTGATTGCTTACAATATTGTTGCAAGTTTTGCCTTCATCCAAATGTTTCTTTCAAAATGCAGTTGGTTTCGATGATGTCCGTCCCTTCGGGTACCATCTTTGTGCGGCGGGCCCTCTCATACTTGATGATCGGACAACCAGAGCTTGCATTGCGAGACGCAATGCAAGCTCAAGTATGCTTGCCGGAATGGCCAACCGCCTTTTACATGCAGGCTTTAGCTCTCTCAAAACTCGGAATGGAAACTGATGCTCAAGATATGCTCAATGACGGGTCCTCCTTCGAGGCAAAGAGGCAAAACAGCTGGCGCAACTAAAAAATTACGTAATAACTTGTGATTAAGCCAATGCTATGTAGCCTCCGCAAACGCTCGCTTGATTTGAGGTAATGTTTATTTGAAATTACTAGTTGCGATTCTGTTTAGACTACAGCTTTCGATATGAATTAGCATTGTATAAATCGATTCTAAAATGCTGGAAAAAAAATTAGCATTCGAGTTATTATGTAATTTTTGTGCCATTTGCTTAAAAACTGTTTCGAGTTCGATTATATAGATATAAATTTATCGTTGCATACACGAGAGAACATATTCAAAACATGTTTCTTGATACAATATACGGATTGAATTTTTGAACAACTCGAACTTGATCCATAATATCGAGACGTGACACGCGTACATCAATGTAAATTATAAAAAGCCGACATGATTTTAAAAAAAATAACCAAAAAAATCTCGTACATTAACATGTTCATTCTGTAATATAAAGTATATAATTTATCGACAAGCAATATCTATTACGAATACGTGGCTTTGGAATGCAATTATGGCCGTGACATTGGAACGCGGTTATGGATAATATGATATTAGGGGTATGTTTGCGAGAAGTTTTAAGAATGAAAGTTACGGTAAGAAAATGTAAGAAGATACATTCATCTTTAGATCAATCTTTAATTGAAGATCAACACTAACGCAAAACATCAAAATACACCGATTCGATTCTCATGATAAACGTAGTTTATGAGATAGAAAAGACGTTAAAGTGATCAAGGATGAAAAATCCAGACCTTTTAGGGGCTGTTTGGCAATTGTTGAATAGTTTAGTACATAATAATTAAGTGGTCAAAATGATTAAGAATGTAATATAAAATGAAATATAATTGTTTGATAATTGTATACAATAAAATTAGAGCTTTTAATGGTTAAGGAAAATTCATGATACAAAATCATTTAAAAGGTTTTAAAATTATTAAGAGCATCTCTTTAACTATTTAGAGATTGTCTCTGAAGGAAAGTATCCACGTATAAATTCTGCATTAAAAGAGGTTTGAGTTGAAGGAGAATATTCGGATTTCTAAAGAAAACAAAACCTTAAAAGAGCATCTCCATCCATGAGTCAAAGCCAAACAACTCCACCATCTTCAACCTGTCGCTTTCTTCCTCATATCAATATACAACATCCACCCAACAAAGACATCATCAAACCCCATAAAATAGTACTAAAAAACTGTTGTTTCTGTTTTTGTTTTCTGAGAGAGGGACTGATGCTTCAGAGTCTATATTTCATTCCAATTTTTGAGGCAAAAAGATCATGAATCCAAGCAAAGTTGAAGAGGGTCCGTTTCATCATTCCCTTGATGCGATCGCGGACTCTCAGCCTTTGATTTTGGATCACCACCACCAGGAGGAGGAACCCCCGCCGCCGATGGAGTTCTGTCTACCTCCCTTGTCGGAATTCGACTTGTTTCGTGACGACGATGACGAAGATTCCGTCAGCCGCACCTCCTCCGATGCAGACGGTCTTCCACCTGCTACAAACAATACCGACGTTTCTTCCCAGAAAACAAACCCTAGGCTTCATTACGTCAACCCGGAGCCTCACATATCTTCCCAATTTTACACATTCAACATGGAATCACACTCCTTGATGATCCGTTGCATACTCGACTGTCGTCTCGCCAACCCCGACAAGATTAGGGCAGCCACGCCGCAGGCGGTGCTCGCCAGCTGGCGGTCGGTGTGGAAAGACCGCAACGAAGACACCGCCTACCTGACGGCATGGAAGCGAATTCAGGACAAGCTCACAGTCCATAGAGGCCAACATGGTAACGAATTCCTTTGTTTCAAGAACAATTCCAATAATCAATTTGTATCATATACTACTCAGTGGCAAGATATAGTGATGAGCTTTCATGGTGATGCTGATTTGAAGCACCTAGGGTTAAAAGAAACCATAGAAAGAATTAAACAAGTTTGGACCGTAGGTGCTAAGTTTTACGGGATACCCGAATCCTACATTCGGGCTTGTGTAGCTGCTTGTCCTGTTTGTTTGGATTTGAATGGGTCTGGTGGGGGTCGTTCCAAAAGGCGTAGGTTCGAGTATACCGAATCTTTTGATGTTCCAGCAAAAGAGGTGCCTAATAAGTTGCAACAATTGGCAGCTAAACATAAGGTTGTTTTGTGTATAAGGCAAAAGTATATTAGATATAAGCCATTTATGGCGGAGGTAAAAGATTACGCCTGCCATCGGGCAGGGGAACCAACTTCATCATCGAAGAAATCAAGAATCTTGAAGAGGGAACCTTATGCATCAAAGCGTTGTAGATGTGGGTTTCGGATAAGGGCGATTGTGCCAATTTCTAATTATAATGAGAAAGATAAGACCTTTGTATATCAAGAAGAGGGTACGGCTGTTTTTAAGCTATTTGCTATTCATTCGGGCCATGAACCTGGGCCGTTGGATGGGAATGCAAGGATTATGCACAGAATTGTTGGGCATAGAGGTGGGGTTTTGATGGATCAAGATTTGGTTTATGGAATGAGTGAAGAAACTGATAATGAGAACTTTATGGGGAAGGATGATGGGGATATGCAACATTTGGTTTTTCAGCAAGTAAAGGAATTAAAGAATGAAGTTGGGCTGCTTGAAGGGAAAATTGCGAAAATTACAAAAATCCAACCTGAGCTTCTGAGTTCTGTATCTCAAGAAATGTTTGATCTTGTGAATAAAGTTAGAAGTGTAAGAGAGTATGGATCAAAATCATCAGGGCTGCTCTTGGAGAATGATTTAGTAGATTGGAGCGGTCATCAAAGGATCTATGGTGATGGTAAAGATACAAATTTGATTGAAGACGATGAAGACAGTTTTGAGCGTACACTTGGAGACGTTGGTTCGTGGGACCAAATCAGTGGTGATTGCAGAAACGAGAAAGATCTTGTGGATGACTCATGTAAACCTGAAAAATGGCTGAAATCTAACGGATATGATGAAAAAGGTATACTCGACTGTGAGGATTCCAAACTATCAAAGCCCGTAAGACATGATGAACCAGAGACAGATAGTCTTGTTGGTTTGCACGTTGAAAATTTCTATCCCGAGAATCCCAAATGGTACGACTCTCCTTGAGGGTTGGACCCTGGAGTGGATTGTGGCGGCAATGTGTTCAGGCACGGGGAGATTGTGTAGATTACTACAGAAAGTGGGTTAGTCCATCATGACTAAACTTGAGTTTATTAGGTGTTATTTCTGGGTGTATATTTGTGTACACAGAAGAATTGGGCTTCTTTGCACATACTTCTTTATGACCATATCTCAGTTGTGTTGTGAACCATCAAATTTAGGACTTCATTTACTCCATGAATGATTTGGCTTCTATCTTGCAGTTTAGATTCATTTATGATCACATTTATGCTAGTTCAAGAAAAGGGTCCTTTGGTTAAATGACCTCTAACAAGTGTTTCCTTTTTGTAACAACTTTAAGAATGCCACTAGAATGTCACTTCCACACACAAGAGTGCCTAAAAACTTGTTAGGAAGTCATGAATTTAGAAAGCACTTGTCCGGAACCCTTCAAGAAAATAATGTTGATGCTTGTGGTCCACAAAACAGTTTTGAGATCCGAAATTACTGAAGCTTTATGCAAATTTAAAGGAAAACATGGTAGCTAAGTTGAATCCTACAGAAGGTAATTATCAGTACAAGTTTTGTCATTAGCTATAATTTTGAATCTACATGTGTTCAAGAATGTGGTGTCAAATTGAGTTATCAAGAAGTTAGGAAATTGATGTCAAACTCCTTGTTAGATGCTATTAAAAAGGAATTGAACGATATGAGTATTTCGAATGGGCTAATGGCACTCCTTTCTTACCTCAACAATGGCAAGATTGCCTACATAGACTCGGTTTCTTTAAAAGCACAGGAAACCACACCCAAGGGAGTGCACTTTTTTGCTGCTTGCTATTGGGGTGCATTTGATACGCAAACACAGGACAGGACGAACTAGGGGGAGGCAGGCAGGTGAAAGAATTGTGGAATGTTTTAGGGATTTTAATTTGACATGGGTGGTGTAGTAATTCACCATGCAAATTCCATCTCCTTGATTTCTGTTTCACGTATTTTGGTGGGACAGAAAAATGCATTTTTTCCAGTCCCATTCTAATTGTCGCACAAAACGTGGAACAACATGTTTTTGTTCTGCCCTGCCTTGATAATTCGTTGGGCGATATCAAGTGTGGGATTTTAATAACTTAGGGCCTCGAGGGTTATCTTGATTAATTCCAACCAATTGAACAAGTAGAGAAACTGTTTTTTGATCATCCTATTTTCCACCTCCTTTTAAATTCTTATGTAATCTTGTACATATGTCCCAAAATCCATTGATGTTGTTAGAGGGAAAAGATGGCAGGGATACATCAGCACCATCTGATGCAGTGAACCGGGTTCTTGTCTCATAATTGGATTTCTTGAAGGTATCCGTTCTTACTTACTTTAACGTACATAAAAAATGTTTATAAACTTGGTATATATTTTCTGTATGCACATGCTAACCTTGAGGTCCAGCTCAACTAGCAAATATATTCTAGGCCTTGGGACGACTCCTTATAGGTCGCCAGCTCATGGCCACAGGGGATTTTTCTGGCTGTTGTCTTTAGGTCATATGGGATTACGTTGTTTTCTTGTCACATTAGAGTTGATTGTTTCTTTTCATGATTGAATCTCCTGGTTTGACGTCGGTGTTTTGGTAACATAAGTTACGTTAGACGTTCTTTTGATGTCATAGGATTGAATAATCTGAATCTGGCATGGGGTAGAACTTGAAGAAATGTCAAGCGGCAGAATGTTTGAACCTTGCAAATTCTAGCTTTTATTCTTATGGTGCCACTGCTTGAAAAAAATTCCTGTGTCCCGCACCTCTGCATGACTTGTCCCTGGCAGGGTGTGCGGATTTTTTTTTGCTGTTTTAACAAAAATGATAATTTTACATCATTATATTTGAGTTAATTTTATCATGTTGCTGAATATCTCAGCAGGTACATTTCTTTTTATATTTGATCATGTTGGTGAAGAGCAAAATTGTCTGTCTTAAACCTCAAAAGCTGGTGGAGTTGACGGTTTATATCGTCTGGAAGAGATGTTGTGATTTCTGATATCGTCCAAAGCAGAGACACGGATAATGAGCCCGTTAGCCGCTGAACTAAAGTAGCTCTGACCAGTAGTCTAATGGTATCAGAGTAGGGTACAGAATAA